AAATGGGAAGGGGATCTAGACACGGGAGGGGTAAAAAGAATTAAGATGGTTATGTACATGTACCACTCCCCACTGTGAATGCAATCACTGGGTGCTGCAAACATGCACTAATAGACATTTTTAAATAAATAAAAAGAAAAGCCCGCCACAAGAGGCCCAGAAGAGCCCTCACTGCCTTCAGGGTCAGTCTGGCTCCCCAGCGTCTGCGGTGACGATCATGCTAGAGTGCAGGCTGGCACAATGAAAGAGTGACAAGACACGCTGCAGTGTAGTCCAGGAGCACAGGAGCAGCCAATCACAGCTCCTCACTGCGGGTCCACAGCACGGGCGGCCTCCCGGCTTGCAGAGCTGCATGCGGCTCTGGTGAGACTGTCTCCCAGGTCAGGTCGCCTCACTGCTGCCTGGCGGGCCTAGGCAACCACGTGTGCCGCAGAAGCAGGTGGCTTTCTCTGGTGGACAGGAGATACAACCGGAGATTCGAGGCACCCTGCTGGCTTGAAGATGGAGGGGCCGTGACCCAAGGGATGCAGACGGCCTGAGGAAGCTGAGAGCAGCCCCCTCTGGCAGCCAGCAAGGAACTGGGGACCTATAAGTGCAAGGAAATGGACCCTGCCAATCAGCGACTGCGCCTGTACTGAGCTGTAAACCAGGAATCCTAAGATGGCGATGCCAAGTCAGAGACTTGCCAAAGCTGAGGAGGCACCTGGCTGCCCACAGGGACGCAGCTCACACGGAGCAGGTGCCTGGGCACGGTCGCTCCTCACCAAGACCACCTGCCTGCCCTTGCTTGGGGGCTCCTTCCGGTCACAGCAGCCTGGTGAGAGCTATGGCTTTCCAGCGAACTCTACTTCGGGAAAGAGAAACCGCTGGCAGTCTCGGCACAGGCCCTCACCGCACACCAGCCGCGTCGAGCTGTGACGCGGTGACTCCCGTGGTCTCTGGGGGCTACTTTTGTCCGCCCCTCCTCCGGCAACCTGAGTCCTGGCCGCACCAGCAAGCTTATGAATTTGAACATCTCAGCTTACTTTCATAATCACAGCTCTTTTATCCACTCCATGGTAAGAAAATCTCATCCTGAACTGTTTCACTGAGCCAAGAAACAAAAAGCACGTATTTTCCACCAAAGTTAATGTTAACCCCCCTCCCTGAGGCCACTTACATGAATCCATTCAACATGAAGAGCACGATCACATTAGTGACCCAGAGAAGGCCTGAGACTTTCCCTTGAAATATAAATCTAAATTATGAAACTTTTTTCCTTTAAAATTACTCTTTAAAAAAACTAAGCCACCTCACAAGTGCAGGGCCCCAAGTTCGATCCCCGGTACCAAAAAAAAAACAAACTAAGCCACAGCCAAGTGTCATGTCCAGCAGCACTGCATTCCCACTGAACATTCGAAACAGAACAGAGCCAACAGGATCTGCTCTGACTTCCACAGCACAAGCATTAAGCCATTTCTTGCACAAACCTTTGAGGCCTCGCATTTCTCCACAGCACCACGCCAGGCTGTTTAGCATTCGCTGCAGCCCCCTTCTGAGCATCGGTGAGTCCTCCTGGGCAGCCGCTGCTCCGGTGCCAGCTTCCTCACAGTCCAGCACCTCCCTCAGCCAGCACAGCCAGCGCGGGGACCACGTTTTCAATTCCGTGCAGACCGGCGATGGACAAGGGGCAGAGCAGCGACAAGGCGCTCATTAACTGGGTAGAGTGTCTGGGCACCAGCAAACTTCCTAAGTGGCCAGTGCAGCAGGAAATATCTGGGCAGTGCCATCATTCTTGCTTCTCCCGCCGCTGCCCCTTCCGTGTCAGGGTGAAACCCAGGGAGCAAGACCCACGCGTGCCGCCTCACCCTTCAAGGACCTCACAGCTCTCCCACACACCCCTGAGGTTCACATGAGGGGGAGGAGAGAGGCGACCCACCGGAAGGTGGCATCCGAACCAGCGGCCCCGCCCCCAGCCTTCAGCCGCGCCCACCCACGCCCTCCTGAGGACCTTCTGGAGTAGACGTCAGGCGATGCGGGCTGGAGCCCAGGGGCCCAGGAGCCTCCCGCTGCTCCCACTCCCTGGCAACAACAGCGCAGCTCATCAGGGCCCACGGGCACCACGGGCCGTGTCCTGCAAACCAACACGGGCAGCGCCTGACTCAGGCAGAGCAGAATCTCCAAGGGGAGCAGCAGACGGGCGGGGCACCTGCGGAGAGGGAGTGCACACGCCCGCTGCCACGCTGCAAGCACGCCTGTGGGAGCCCAGATGTGGCGCCTGCTGGGACTGGGCCTCACCGCGCCCCATCATGCGCCAGGACAGGTGAGGTCACGTGTCCGCCCGCATTCACGCAGGACTGCTTTACCTTCTGCCGCGGGGGAGGGTCCCAGGGACACTGGGACCGCCTCAGGATCAGTCAGGGCTCAGACTTAGGAGCACAGGAAAGCGAAGCGGCTGGGGCTGGGGCCAGAGCGCCTGCGCACATCTCTCAGTCAGCAGCCCAGCCTGAGCTTACAGAGCTTTGGGCCAAAACCGGAACAAGACGAGAGCCAGCAGCAACTCCCAAACCAGGGAGCCACCAAGCAAAGTTCCAAGAGCAGAAGACTCCCAGAAAAGGACAAATGGTGCAGACTGCTACATGAGCTACCAGGCAGAGACCGGGACTCTGGAGGTGCGGCTGACCCTTTCCTCAGGACTGCGAAGTCGTCTTCAGCTGCGCACGTCCCGGGACCACAGAAGACAAACTTCTCACCGACAAGGTCCTTCACGTCTTTCCTTGCTGAGCAACACGGGAAAGCGTGGTGCTGGGTAAGCCGCTGAACAAGGCAGGTTCCAGACAGGCCCTTCTTCACACCGTAAGGTCAGTTCGCAGAAGACCGGCGGGTCACAGGAAAAGCTCTTAGGCTCACCTCCTCTCCTCTCGGGGCCCAGCTCCACGTTTCTCTGTTCACCGCTTCCTCCCTGCCTCCTCTGAGAGCCAGAGAGGGAACAAGCAGAGGCACCCCGTCCTCCCAGGCACCTGGCAGGCAGCACTAGCAGGCTCCTCCTCTAGGCAGAAATGGCAGGGAGTGGATTCGCTGAGGTCTCTACTGGGGAGGTGGCGCGTGCCACCTGACACAGGCAAGGAAGGGTCACCAGGCGCAGGAAAGGGAGGAGTCAGACAGCATGAGGACGCCTTCCTCTTAGGATGGGGATCAAACCAGGCCTCGTGGCTGGCATCAGAGTCCCCCCGCCACGCCTCGCGCCCTACACCACACTGCCTCTGAGCTGAATTCAACAGGTGGGGCGGGGGCTGACAGCGGGGAACGGCCAGGACCCAGGGCAGGAGATGCAGAAGCCGGAGGGAGGGTCTTTACCCTGGGGGTGGGGGGACGGGGGTGAGGTGAGAGGGGACGAGGAGGCAGAGCTGGCAGAGGACCTCTTCCCACTGGCTGTGCTGGGAAAGGGGCCTAGCACGGTCGGAGGGCGAGCAAGGTACCAGCCCGCTGGAGGGCAAGGTGGATGAGGGATGGAGACCCCACACGGAGGGCGGCACCTATCACTGAGGACTGGAGGGAGCCGGAGAGGAGCCAGGTCTGAACACCTGCACTGGAGCCCGAGTTCAGCATTGAAATCGAGACCGTGCATCTCCCACGCGACCCTGCCTACGTCCCACCGCAGCACCTGGCCCGGAGCGGCTCACACAAGGACAGAACAACACACTGCAACTGGGCCCACTGGAAGCCCACGGGCTACAGAGCAGATATGTTCAAGGGCCCGAGCGGCACACTCAGAACACGATGGGGACTGCTCGGGGAGACACGCACAATTCTGGACAGCCAGAGGCCAAAGCACGCTTGGAGCACAAACCCGACCTTCGGGGCTGTCCTACTGCAGAGAGACAGAGTCCACTGCAGTCCACCAGCATGCTGGAAACCTCAGGTCACCCAAGAGGTGCGCCAGGAGCTCACTGCCGCTCAGGAAGCAACTCCCCACCACCTGCCTCAGTCTGACCAGCACCAGGGAGAGGGGGACAGAGGGCTGCGGCCCAGGGCACCCTGGGCCCTCCAGGAATCAAGAAAGTAACACTTCGATCCCAACCAGGTGAAACAAGTTGCAGAATGGCCTACGGGCTTTCTTTGTAATACACACTCTTTAAAGTGCCAACTTAGTATCAACTGAGGTGTTTCCAAGTACTTCAAAGGGGAAGCAAACTGTAAGCAAACAAAGTTTACTTTCAGAGGGAATCCCAATGCCTAGCCCTCACTGTAATATCTGTGATAACCCTAACACCCTGGGAAATGCTCCAGCCCCATTTAAATCAACAAGAAAACGAGCAAGCAAAGCCCATGACTTGAATCCTGAAATAGGAACACAAGCTGTACACGATTACTTCGTATAGAGAAACCTAAGAAAGCAGCAAAGGCAAAGAAGCTGGGTAGCTGCGTCACACCTGGGCAGCCGCACCTGGGCCCCCCAGCCCCACCCTCTTCCCGTCTCCCTTTCTTCCACTCTTTGCTGTCTCCAGCAAGGTCTGACCTTCGAAGGCCCTCCAGGCCGGTGTAAATATTTTAAAATAAACTTGCATCTCCTAAAGCTTAAGAGCACACAATAAATCGGTTTTAACTTCTAGAGTGCTAACAGCCAGCTTTCTGACTACTGCAAAATGATGCACTTTACTTTCGTTCCTGCCCAGGCCTGAAACACACGACATAACCCCACTCCACCCACAAGTCACTTCTAGCTACAGTATCCCTGATGGTTAAACTGTATCATTCCCCAAAACCTACTCATCTCTCAAAGGGCTTCAAAAAAAAAAGTTACTATTTCACCTTCAACCTGATTGACGTTCCTGACAATACTTAACATCGGCTGCAGTTGAGTCTAGGAGAAGCCACACCCCGTGCGCCCGCCCCACGGTGACCAGGGGTCCCTAACCTTCCCGGCGGGGCGGCGGCGGAGAAAGTGCCCGGTACCCTCTCCGGTCTCGGGAGGAGGAAGGGGGCTTGCAGCGAATCAGGGCCCCACCCCGCTCACTCACCCCTGGATGCCCGGGCTGTACGCGCGGCTCTTCCACGGCGTGCCGGGCCGCGGCGCCTGGGTCCCGGGGCCTCCGCCGTCCAGAGCGGCGGCGCGGCTGCCGGACAGCAGGTAGTTGAGGCCGTAGGTGCTGGCCTTGTTCTCGCGTTTCCGGCGGCCCGGGTGGAACTGGTGCTGCGGCGGGGGCGTCGGCGGGGAGCCTGCGGGCGCGAGGGCGCGCGGCCCGGGGGCGCCATCGGCGAAGCTGAAGAAGGCGCCGCCGCCGCCGCCGCCGCCCCCCGCGCGGCAGATCGAGGCGCCGCTGGACGACGACGACGAGCAGCCGGGGCTCTCGGTGCCCGACTCCGCATTGGACGAGGACGACGAGGACGACGACAGCGACGGCGACTTGTGCAGGCGGCGCGCGCCCTCGGCCGCGGGCCCGAGAGCGGACAGCAGCGCAGGGGGCGGTGCAGTGGGGCCGGGTGCGGGGCCTCCACGCTCCCCGCCCGCGCCCCGCCCGGCCGAGCCCGCCGCGGCCGCCGGGTCCAGCGCCGGCGAGTTGAGGCAGAAGTAGGACGCGAAGCCCGCGCCGCCGCGGCCCACGCCCTGCGAGGTCTCCCAGATCTGCATCCACAGCGCATTGGCCGGGCCCTTCTGCTCGGGCTGGATCCAGGCCACGCGCGGATCCATCCACGCGCCCCGCGCTCCGCCCCGCCGCGCGCGGACGGGCGAGGACGGGGCTCCGGCTGGGCTGGGCTGCGCTGGGCTGGGCGCGGTGGCCGGGCGCTGCGGGGCGGGCGGTCCGGGCTCACACGGCGGCGCGGGGCGGGCCCGGGGTTGGCGGCAGCGC